AAAAAAAAAAAAAAAAAAAAAAAAAAAAAAAAAAAAAAAAAAAAAAAAAAAAATTGATACATGGACATTTGTGGCCGAACTCAGTAAAACTTGAAAATTAGATCGAAAGTCATTAAGTATATAGAAAAAAAAAATAATAAACAGAGCATGTAGTCCATGACTTGTAGCTACAGTCACATACATGCTTCATCAATAAGAGAATTCTCATGAAATAAGATAAAGAGGAAAGAAACATTAGACACTCGCAAAATGCATTAAACAAAAAAAACAAAAAAAAACATTCTGTGCTCTCCTCGTTTTGGTAAACAAATTTTTATAGTTGGACAAGTTTTTCAGGAGAAACCAGTCTGTGTGATTAAACGAAACAATATGTTGAAATGTGTTCATACCTAGGCAAACATGTAAGAGAAAAATAAAGGGATTAACAAGTGAAAAACAAAAAATGTAAAATTGAAAAATAATGCAAAAGCAAAATTGTTCAACGACGATGATTACACGTTTACTTGAAGTTCTGTTAGTGTACCACTGGTACTGTATTCATTTGGAATAATTGGAATGGAATAATGGCTTTGTTTTCTCTACTCGAAACTGCTTCTTTGTTTTTTTTAAACTCTGATAAAAATTTTAAAACGTATCAACAATACGCCAAAGATAAAATTTTCTTTTCCCGTCAAATTAATAGTAATTTTTCACATGTGTATAAATGTAAAAGTGTAAAGAGGAATAAATTTGCACGCTGCAATGGCGATCTTATCCCCGCAACCATTGAAAAAAAAAAGGAAAAAAAAGTAAATCTGTAAAGCTGTAAAAGCTCCGATTGTATTCATTGAAAACTAGTGTTCTGCGTACGCTTAAATTCTTAATCGCATAGTTATTTTTTACCTCGTAAGACTAAGTAAGCCGCAAAATCAGTACAACACGCGAAAATTCACTCGTCAATCAGCTCGCAACACGTCAAATTGTTAATTGCGTTTATCCGATCTGGACAGCTGATGTACGTATATAATTGCATCTTAGTTCGAATATAAGTTCCTAGAAAATTCTCTGTGACGTTTGGAATGGAATTTTCAAGGTTTAAGTGGCAAACTACCTCGAGGAGGGTCTCACGTGCGATTGTGTTTTGGTCGCTTATTTTTTCAATGTGTTTGCGCGTACCTCGGGAGCTTGAAAAATCGATTATATGTATAAATTTCAAAGTGTTCCTATACCACAGCTACCGAGTGAAGAACAAATTAAACGATGCTGTCTAGATTAGCTGGTGATTCGAGTGATGATTATTTCAAAACCATACAAGTGCTACATTTTTCATAGAATTACAAAAAAGAAGAAAAACAAAAAAACACAAATTTGAATCTGCAAAGGCGTACAGTCTGAGGAGTCGAGCTCGAAAAGCGACACAGTCCCGCTCTCTGCAGTCCTTGTTTTGTACGATAACAAATAAATTGCGCATATACTCGTAGTCATTTTGCTGTTTGAACGCGGTTGATTCTAATTCTCGAAGAAAAATAGAGAGAAAAGCATTGTACAAAAGCAAAGTCATATTTATAGATTATATGTATACAATGGGAACTCGTTGTCGATGATGATAATGAAAAAGTTAACACTTGCGTCTGTGGGACTGTGCCGCTGGGATAAATAGAAAATAGAGCGAAGCTTCTTATATTCCCTTTCGTAGCTATGTTACGTATACATCATACGGTATTATGTAGCGCAAATCGAATTTAACGAAAAAAAAAAGATAGGTACCGGTTGAATAATATTATATAATAGTACATTAAAAGCCAATATAATATACGCCTACCTTTCGGCCTTACTACTTCAATACACGACTCGTAAATGAACATTTGTACACTTACTTAGAAGCATACGTATATGTTATCTACACACACAAAGAGAGAATAAAAATGCGCGTGCGTTTTCGATTTTTTTTATTTTTTAACTTTGGTTAAAAAGAAAAAAAATCAACTCGCCTTCGATGATTAATATATTACGACTGTGTAAGAAAAAAGCGTTGCGAAAAAAAAAAAGCCTTCTCACCGATTATTTGTGACTCTGTACAATGATAAAAGGAAGAAAAGAAAAATTATCGCAATCTACCCTCGAGAAGAGTGCGTTCACGAGTCTGTGAAAACGATCTTCTTTTTTAAGTCAAAAAAAAAAAAAAAAATAAATAAACGGGAAAAAAATGATGAAAGATGAATAATCACTACTATGCGAGGCTTTTTTTAAGAAAAAGGACGTCGAGAAAAAAATAAACAAAAAAAATACCTACTAATATTAATATTAATGCACTATATCTTACTATTAGACTTGTGCTAAAAACTAAATGCATGTATATTAATATTATTTACGTATATATTAACTCTAGCTGTTGTGAAATCAGCAAAAAACAAAAAAGCGTAATCCACATTCATATACGTTTTAACATACAGTTATCTATGCACGCACTTCGTGTTATATGTAGTTACTATAAAATAAACCTAGTCATCAACAAGAAATTCTGGACCAAGTATCTAGTAGTATTGAAATGAAGTAACTGATGAAAGAAAAAAAAGGGCATTCGAAATTACTTAGGGATAAAAAAATAATCTATGACAATAATGTTAAAATTTTTAAATGTATAAATTAGGAAATAAAAGTACTCCGTTTTGGATCTGTTTGAAAAAGTTTCTGTGATTCCTGTATTGAGTTTGAAATTTCTTTCATGATTTAACTATAAAAATATTAAATAAATTAGTTACCGACTCTTTAAACATGAATCTTGGCCATATTTTGTTTATACTTGGAAAGAAGTTTCGAACTCGTAAGTAGCTTATTAAGACAAACGTTGATAAAAAAAAAAAAAAATTATGTTTCGAAAAAAATGTCAATTCTAAAGTAAAATGTATTACTTTGAAAACAAAAAAAAAATTCTTCACCAAACATTCACCCGTCACGTATCGGAACATCTTGTTGATGACTTTTAGTATATAAAATCAAAAAATATTCTCTACAATTAAGTCTTACTTAATACTAGTATAACGTAAGGGATGAAAAAAAAAAAAAAAAAAATTGATACATGGACATTTGTGGCCGAACTCAGTAAAACTTGAAAATTAGATCGAAAGTCATTAAGTATATAGAAAAAAAAAATAATAAACAGAGCATGTAGTCCATGACTTGTAGCTACAGTCACATACATGCTTCATCAATAAGAGAATTCTCATGAAATAAGATAAAGAGGAAAGAAACATTAGACACTCGCAAAATGCATTAAACAAAAAAAACAAAAAAAAACATTCTGTGCTCTCCTCGTTTTGGTAAACAAATTTTTATAGTTGGACAAGTTTTTCAGGAGAAACCAGTCTGTGTGATTAAACGAAACAATATGTTGAAATGTGTTCATACCTAGGCAAACATGTAAGAGAAAAATAAAGGGATTAACAAGTGAAAAACAAAAAATGTAAAATTGAAAAATAATGCAAAAGCAAAATTGTTCAACGACGATGATTACACGTTTACTTGAAGTTCTGTTAGTGTACCACTGGTACTGTATTCATTTGGAATAATTGGAATGGAATAATGGCTTTGTTTTCTCTACTCGAAACTGCTTCTTTGTTTTTTTTAAACTCTGATAAAAATTTTAAAACGTATCAACAATACGCCAAAGATAAAATTTTCTTTTCCCGTCAAATTAATAGTAATTTTTCACATGTGTATAAATGTAAAAGTGTAAAGAGGAATAAATTTGCACGCTGCAATGGCGATCTTATCCCCGCAACCATTGAAAAAAAAAAGGAAAAAAAAGTAAATCTGTAAAGCTGTAAAAGCTCCGATTGTATTCATTGAAAACTAGTGTTCTGCGTACGCTTAAATTCTTAATCGCATAGTTATTTTTTACCTCGTAAGACTAAGTAAGCCGCAAAATCAGTACAACACGCGAAAATTCACTCGTCAATCAGCTCGCAACACGTCAAATTGTTAATTGCGTTTATCCGATCTGGACAGCTGATGTACGTATATAATTGCATCTTAGTTCGAATATAAGTTCCTAGAAAATTCTCTGTGACGTTTGGAATGGAATTTTCAAGGTTTAAGTGGCAAACTACCTCGAGGAGGGTCTCACGTGCGATTGTGTTTTGGTCGCTTATTTTTTCAATGTGTTTGCGCGTACCTCGGGAGCTTGAAAAATCGATTATATGTATAAATTTCAAAGTGTTCCTATACCACAGCTACCGAGTGAAGAACAAATTAAACGATGCTGTCTAGATTAGCTGGTGATTCGAGTGATGATTATTTCAAAACCATACAAGTGCTACATTTTTCATAGAATTACAAAAAAGAAGAAAAACAAAAAAACACAAATTTGAATCTGCAAAGGCGTACAGTCTGAGGAGTCGAGCTCGAAAAGCGACACAGTCCCGCTCTCTGCAGTCCTTGTTTTGTACGATAACAAATAAATTGCGCATATACTCGTAGTCATTTTGCTGTTTGAACGCGGTTGATTCTAATTCTCGAAGAAAAATAGAGAGAAAAGCATTGTACAAAAGCAAAGTCATATTTATAGATTATATGTATACAATGGGAACTCGTTGTCGATGATGATAATGAAAAAGTTAACACTTGCGTCTGTGGGACTGTGCCGCTGGGATAAATAGAAAATAGAGCGAAGCTTCTTATATTCCCTTTCGTAGCTATGTTACGTATACATCATACGGTATTATGTAGCGCAAATCGAATTTAACGAAAAAAAAAAGATAGGTACCGGTTGAATAATATTATATAATAGTACATTAAAAGCCAATATAATATACGCCTACCTTTCGGCCTTACTACTTCAATACACGACTCGTAAATGAACATTTGTACACTTACTTAGAAGCATACGTATATGTTATCTACACACACAAAGAGAGAATAAAAATGCGCGTGCGTTTTCGATTTTTTTTATTTTTTAACTTTGGTTAAAAAGAAAAAAAATCAACTCGCCTTCGATGATTAATATATTACGACTGTGTAAGAAAAAAGCGTTGCGAAAAAAAAAAAGCCTTCTCACCGATTATTTGTGACTCTGTACAATGATAAAAGGAAGAAAAGAAAAATTATCGCAATCTACCCTCGAGAAGAGTGCGTTCACGAGTCTGTGAAAACGATCTTCTTTTTTAAGTCAAAAAAAAAAAAATAAATAAATAAACGGGAAAAAAATGATGAAAGAAGAAAAAAAAAAATGGAAATTGTACGTCGATTGTTTAAATTTACATACGACCGAAATGTTATTTTTGTACCTTCAGCGAGTTCTACTGTATATTTAAACAATAATCCGAGACAGGCGGGACGAGCTCTTCGCTGTGAAACAAAATAAAGAAAAAAACTAAATCAAAGCAAAGGACGTTCCACCTACTGTTATATTTTTTAGCAAAAGAGCGAATCATACTTATTGAAGAAAAAAAAAAACGCGCGCGTGAGTAGGCGGTCATTGTTTTTTTTTTCCTGAAAAAAAAAGTTTTTCTGGAAATGGGCGAGTAATTTTTTGTAAAGGAAAGTTTAACGAATTCACGGCAAACCATTCCCTTTGCACTACGTTATTATGAAAAAAAAAACTGTTGGTTTAGATTAAGGGAATTTGTTGTTTTAGTTTTTACCTCAAGAAAAATAGAAAGGTAGATGAACAAATTGCACGAAAATCGTCTTGTCCATCTACATCAATGCTGTATACTGCTGTTAATTGATTATCCGTGCTGTCCGAATTCTCGATCGATTGATTTATTGATCTTTGTTATTGTTAATTGTATTTTTTGGTACCAAGCGAAAGTTCAAGAAAAAAATAATAAGAAATGCGTTAACACATAATTATTTGTTTTTTGTTAATTGAATGCAAACAAAGCTGGATCCTTAAATAAATTCATCAAAAAACCACTTGCTTGATTGTTTTTACTCTCCATTTATCTCACTAATCCATAGATATGAGTATTTTTTATCATTAAACTTTCATCATCACGCAGTTTACTGATCCTCGTGCATGACGGAATCACCTAAACACCTGTTAAGTACATACATGCTTATTTTTACCTACGTACGTACTTATTCAATATGTTTTTTATTATAAGTACGTATTTTGACACTCTTCAGAGTCTGAAAGTATAGACAAAAAATATTTAACTAAAAACAGAGCAACTAAGGTACACCCTATATTTAGGAACACGCAACCCAACCCCCGCAATTTTTAAAAGGCTCTCTCCCGAGAGTTGCAGACGCGTTTTTGCACACACAACAACAGAACAGATGCGCGCAAGCAGAGGTTATGTTTTACAATAAACAACAAAATTCCCATCGCAAGTTACGAAAGGTCGCTCAAAAGGTCGTTACTTACGTTTGCAACTATCACAAAATAATGCCACTTGCCAGTAGTTGATAAAAGAATCGCGTCCCAGTGAAAACCACCACTTCCATCAGTGCTACAAGTGTAATATAGTATAGCTGACGATCAGCATCGGGATAATAAAACAGCGGTTGTAAATAAATAAATCAAAGTGCGGTCGTCTTCGTCGTCGTTGTCGTCGCCAGCGAGAATGGCAGCGATAGAGGAGCAAGAGAAACTGCTCGAGGACGCGATTGGGGTGGTAAAGGTGCAGGCCCTCCAGATGAAGCACTGCCTCGACAAGGCCAAGCTGATGGACGCCTTGAAGCACGCCTCGACGATGCTGGGAGAGCTCCGCACCTCCCTGCTGAGCCCCAAGAGCTACTACGAGCTCTACATGGCCATAACGGACGAGCTCCGGCACCTCGAGCTTTACCTGCTCGACGAGTTCCAAAAGGGCCGCAAGGTCGCCGACCTCTACGAGCTCGTGCAGTACGCGGGCAACATCGTCCCGAGGCTCTACCTTCTCATCACGGTGGGCATCGTTTACATAAAGACCAATCCGTGCCTCAAGCGAGACCTGCTCCGCGATCTCGTGGAGATGTGCAGGGGCGTCCAGCATCCTCTGAGGGGCTTATTTCTGAGGAACTACCTGTTGCAGTGCACGAGAAACATACTGCCGGACAATCTAGAGGACAGTAACACGGACGAGGGTACCGTGCGCGACAGCGTTGATTTTATCTTGATGAACTTTGCCGAGATGAACAAACTCTGGGTGCGCATGCAGCACCAGGGCCACAGTAGGGAGAGAGAACGAAGGGAACGCGAGCGGGAAGAACTGAGGATCCTGGTGGGCACGAATTTGGTCAGGTTGAGCCAGCTCGAGTCCGTTACGCTCGACAAGTACACGAAACTCGTGCTACCGGGTATACTGGAGCAGGTGGTCAGTTGTAGGGACGCCATTGCCCAGGAGTATCTCATGGAGTGCATCATTCAGGTATTCCCGGATGAATTTCACTTGCAGACTCTTAATGCTTTCCTCAAGTCCTGTGCCGAGCTGCAGAGTGGTGTCAACATCAAGAACATTATCATCTCGCTGATAGACCGTCTGGCTGCATTCAGTCAGAGATCAGACGGCGTGGGTGGGCCCGGAAGCCCGAGTCAACCAGCGGGTATTCCGCAGGATATTCAACTGTTTGATGTTTTTAGCGATCAAGTGTCGACTATTGTACAAACCAGGCATGATATGCCACTCGAGGATATAATATCCTTGCAGGTGGCTCTGATCAATCTGGCTCACAAGTGCTATCCCGACAGAGTTGACTACGTTGACAAGGTACTGTTGAACACCCATCAGATATTCCAAAAGATACACATTGAAATTTTGGAATTCAATAGTGCTGTGTCCAGAGAGTTGTCGAGGCTTTTGAAAATACCAATCGACAACTACAAAAACATATTAACGGTCTTGAAACTGAAAAATTACAGACCACTGTTAGGCTACTTTGACTATGAAGGGAGAAAATTATTGGCAACGTACATAGTGACAAACATATTGGACAACGAAACTCTGATTCCATCCCCAGATCAGGTGGATGCAATTTTGTTGATGATTGCGCCTCTTATTCAGGATCAGACGGACCACGTTGTCGAAGACGATCCAGAGGAATTTGCTGAGGAGCAGGGACTCTTGGGCAGGTTGATACACTATTTCAAGTCAGAGGTGGCAGACGAGCAGTACATGATCCTAAGCACGGCAAGAAAACACTTTGTCTCGGGCGGTAGTAAGAGAGTGAGGTACACTTTACCACCTATAGTATTTCAAGCATATCAGTTGGCATTTACCTACAAAAATCTGCAGAGCGAGGATGACATGTGGCAGAAAAAATGCCAAAAGATCTTCCAATTCTGTCATTCGACCATCACAGCTCTTCTCAAAGTCGAGCTGGCCGAGCTTCCTCTCAGGCTATTCCTCCAGGGCGCGTTAGCGATAGGCGAGATCCGATTCGATAACTTTGAAATGATCGCGTACGAGTTTATCAGCCAGGCGTTCTCGATCTATGAAGACGAGATTAGCGATTCAAAGGCACAGTTTGCTGCCATTACGTTAATCATCGCCACGTTTGAGCAAATGAACTGCTTTGGCGAGGAAAACGCCGAGCCGGTTAGAAACCAGTGCGCCTTGTATGCCAGTAAACTTTTGAGAAAGCCGGACCAGTGCCGTGGAGTAGCCACTTGTTCGCACATATTCTGGTCAGGCAAGTCCTTGAGTACAGAAGGCAAAGAGATGCAGGACAAAAATAAGGTACTCGATTGTTTAAAAAAGGGCATTAGAATTGCAAATCAGTGTATGGACATTTCGGTGCAAGTCCAGCTGTACATAGAGCTATTGAATCATTATGTGTATTTTTATGAAAAGGGCAACACAGCCGTCACTGTACAGATTCTTAATCAGGTCATCTCCAAGATCAAGGACGAGTTGCCCAATTTGGAGATCAGCGAAGAGACTGAGCAAATACAGAAACACTTTGCCAATACACTGGACCATTTAAAGAATAGGATAGAATCACCTGAGGCTGAGGCGCAGTTATATAGCGGGCTCATTGTATAATTGGCAATAATAGTTTAAGAATGTTATATTGTTGAGATTTGTTTTTAAAAAAAAAAGTATAATGAAGTATTATATTTCTCCAAACAAATTGTAAATTTATTTAGGTTTTAATAAATTTTCTTTATACATAATTTTAGATCTTGATTATAAAATTTTTCTTATCTTCATCAAAGCGAGATTTTACGAAAGTAAACTTTAGTAATAATTAAGTATAGGGTCCAAAATTATAACTAATACTGGTATCTACTCATGAATGAAGACTAATGTTATGACATTTATTTATAAACATTTATTATTAAATGCTTTAAAATTTTTACAATTGTAAATTATGAACTCTATGAACTATCTAAAGATCTTTTTTTTTTTTTTTTCCATTGAATCTATGGGCCAAAGGCCCAGTTACATACGTAATTACAAAATCGGTGTACATTTTTGCCGAGTGCAGCATGTACTCGAGTTTGACTTTAGTATTACTCTGTATCGTATTTGCCACGAGGAATATCTACGACATACCATTGCATCCTGTTTGCCGTCAAAGACGAATAAATTTTTTTTCTAGGAAGATTATTATTAGATTGTACCATACTAGGTACCTTGACAAACCGTGTGCGTCATGCACCTCATTCGTTATAGAAAACTAAATATTTTTTCAGTACTTGGACATTTATAAAGATAAAAATAAAAAACAAATTGAACTCGTTTCAACTTGAAAAGATTTTCTGTTTATGATAGTAATTTCACGTATAGAGACATCGAGTGGCAAAACGATCGAGTAGTACCATTGTCATTTTTTTCTCACTTGCAACTCGGAAAAACATGAGAGTACTGTCGTGCATCAGAAACGAGAGTAACCATCGGTTTTACAGGCACGCAGTTGCGAATATAGTATATAAATAACTGCTTGAATCGTACAATTGGCGCAATAAGTATAACTAGGTACCTATATTACATCCTCTTTCTCCGAGAGCTCAGGTAAAATCCCTGAACTGAAGATGCAAAGGGCCTACGATGTATGTTTGTACTGTACACGTAATATACTGTACGCACATACACGGTGGTCGGGATCGAAAATCGAGCGGTTTAACGTTTTAATACCGTACAACGGTGTATGTGATGAAAAAAAAGTGCGCGGTGTATGGAGATGACTATATCATCACAGTCGTTGCGAGGACGCGAGGTTTTTCCCTCATCATCGCTGACAAAATTTCTTGCAGGTCTCGACGCGCTACTTTTCTCAAACGACATACCGATCGTCCCAAAACCTCGTTTTACCATCACAGAACCATTGGAATTCCCGAGTTTGAGTGGTGTGGCTTCGCGATGGGTCATCCAATTTACAAGAGACCCGCTGCCACAGACCCACACTTAGACTAATGATCAATTAGTCTCTAAAGTATTTGTCCAAATAGTCCAAGCAAATGGGTACGAAATGCAGTAATTAAAAAAAAAAAAAAAAAATGCTCCGCGTTGTAAAGGCCCAATGAGAGGTAAAAATTTAGTAATCGACGCCATAAACTCCAACAATTTGTTTACCTGGTTAAATGTAAGAAAAGTACAAATGCGTGTGCAAAATGTGTTTTTTATAAATATCCGTAGTAATAATCATTGTTGGATAAAAAAAGCTTCAAATAAAACTTGAAGACAGTGAAAAAATTAATCTTTATGAGTTTATCTGTCCGTAATAAATGTATTATAATAAGTTATGTACAAAACTGTATTACCATAAATATAAGGATAAACTCTTATAGATTAATTTTTTTCTAAAAAATTTTCGAGATATATATTACATACACATTTGCACTTGCCCTACATTTAATTAGGGCAACTAGCTGTTATACTGTATATCAGTCAATTGTCTTCTTACGATCTCTCGGGTCAATAAAACTCTGGATAGCATTTATTTTCGAAGAGAGTCCCGTTTGCTTAGGCTAAAAAGGAAGTAGATTTATATTTATAATTTTTATCAGTCTATTGTTGGCCTTTTGTAGGTCCTTAAAGATCGGCCTTGGATTATAGTTCATCCTTGAGATCTTCCTCTTCTTCGCCTCCTTCACCGCCAGTGGGTGGTGGAGCTTGGCCGGCGTACAGCTTGGTGATGATGGGCTGCACTATGTTTTCGAGTTCTTTCTTTTGTTCCTGGTAATCCTCTGGTTCAGCATCTTGGTTGTTCTCAAGCCATTTGATTTTTTCATCAATAGCTTCCTCCATTTTGGTCTTGTCATCGTCGCTGACCTTCGAGCCAAGTTTCTCCTTGTCTTGGAGTTGGTTCTTTACTGAGTAGGCATACGACTCGAGCTCGTTACGGGCCTCGACGCGCTTCTTGAGCTTCTTGTCCTCGTCGGCGAACTTCTCGGCGTCCTTGATCATGCGCTCGATGTCTTCTGGCGTCAGTCTGTTCTGGTCATTGGTGATGACGATCTTTTCCCGATTACCAGTACCCTTGTCTTCGGCCGACACCTGAAGGATACCGTTGGCGTCGATTTCGAAGGTGACTTCGATCTGAGGAATACCTCGGGGCGCGGGTGGAATACCAGTGAGATCAAACTTGCCAAGCAAGTGGTTGTCTTTGGTCATGGGGCGTTCACCCTCAAAGACCTGAATGGTGACGGTGTGCTGGTTGTCGGAGGCAGTAGAGAAGATCTGGGATTTTTTGGTCGGAATCACGGTGTTTCTGGGGATGAGCTTGGTCATGACACCTCCAACTGTTTCGATACCCATGGTAAGTGGGTTGACGTCGAGAAGGACGATGGCGTCGGTGTCTTGTTCTCCGGAAAGTACTCCAGCCTGGACGGCGGCACCGTAAGCGACGGCTTCGTCGGGGTTGATGCCTCGAGACGGCTCTTTGCCATTGAAGAATTCTTTTACAAGCTGTTGGACTTTGGGGATACGCGTGGAACCACCGACAAGCACAATCTCGTCGACGTCCTTCTTGTTCATGTCAGCGTCCTCCAGGACTCGCTGGACCGGCTTCAGGGTGCTTCGGAAGAAGTCAATATTCAACTCCTCGAATTTAGCACGGGTCAGAGTCTCGGAGAAGTCCTCATTTTCGAAGAAGGACTCGATTTCGATCCTGACCTAAAACAGAAGAACCAATCAACTTTAGATTTTTCAACTCAACCTATGAAGACAAAAACGCTACAAATTTTATTTTGACGCATTTACCTGGTGGCTGGAGCTCAGACCCCTCTTGGCCTTCTCGACCTCACGACGCAGCTTCTGCACGGCTCGGTTGTCCTGCCGGATGTCCTTGCCCTTCTTCTTCTTGTACAGCTTTATGAAGTGCTCCATTACTCTCTGATCGAAGTCTTCCCCACCGAGATGGGTGTCTCCATTGGTGGCAACGACCTCAAAGACTCCGTTGTCGATCGTGAGGAGGCTGACGTCGAAGGTGCCACCGCCCAAGTCGAAGACGAGAACGTTCTTCTCGCCTTCCTTCTTGTCGAGACCGTAAGCGATGGCCGCGGCGGTGGGCTCGTTGATGATTCTCATGACGTTCAAGCCAGATATGGTGCCGGCGTCTTTGGTGGCCTGTCTTTGGGCGTCGTTGAAGTAGGCGGGTACAGTTACAACGGCGTGGGTGACATTTTTGCCCAAGTAGGCTTCCGCGACTTCCTTCATTTTGCCCAAGACCATGGCGGAGATCTCCTCCGGGGCAAAGACCTTCATGCCCTGGCTGGTCTCGATCTCGATGTGCGGCTTCTTGTTCTTCTGGATGACCTTGAAGGGGAAGAACTTGATGTCTCGCTGGACGTTGGCGTCATCCCAGTCGCGACCAATCAGACGCTTGGCGTCGAACACGGTGTTTTGAGGGTTCGTAGTCAACTGGTTCTTGGCGGCATCGCCGATCAGACGCTCACCCTCTTGGGTGAAGGCGACGTACGAGGGCGTGATACGGTTACCCTGGTCATTGGCGATGATTTCGACCCGACCGTTTTTGAATACACCAACGCTGGAAGTAAAAATGTGTTTCACGAATCAGTCAAACGTCAAGTTTCGTTTTAAACGTATTTGGTGATTATTACAAGGGAAGCTTATAGACTCTTACCATGAGTATGTTGTTCCCAAATCAATACCGATGACGATTCCAGTCTCCTCCTTCTTGTCCTCCTTGGCGTTTGCGATGGCTACAATAAGCCATACTAATAAAAGTATCGACTTCATCTTGAGACGTTCCAACATCGCCTGTAATGGAAAAAAAAAAAAAAACAATTAAAAAAATTATCAAAACCACACTTTTTTGTTGAATAGTGCATGGCAGGTGTAAATACAACATATGTGTCACTAGCTACAATGGAAATAATAAGGTGTAACGTAACAAACAGTTTTTACCGAAAAATCTGGAAACACCGCAATCTAAAGCTCACGCGCAGCGATTAAAGTGTATCAAGTACTACGCGTCACCAGAATGAAAAAACTGAAACGCGTCGACGAAACGAATGTTAACGCAAAGAGCAAAGCTTGTAACTACTGATGCGTATGGCATAGCGGTAAATCACGAGCTGCTGCATCAGACGAGTAAAGAGCCCAGCTTATGGTGTGTATACGTGTACATACGCTTATGGAGCCGCGCGCTTCTGCTGGAATCCGCACCTCACAGACAGCAGCAGCAGCAGCAGCGAATAGCCACGTCGATCTTTTGAGATGAACTTGTGGAAAAAAAAAAAAAAAAAAAAAAAGATCAATCGTATATTCGATAACACGGCAAGAGACAAACTTCCTACTTGTGCATCGACGGTAAACCAAACGAACAAGGATATGACACGAATACAGCTTAGACGCGCGTCGGTTGCAGGAGACGAAGACGAAATGTTGCCACACAACTTCCTCTCGAGCGAAATAAGCACAACGATGCTCGCTCGAGTTTTAAAAAAGCTGCAGGGATTATTTATGCACATACGTGTACACATTGAAAGCCACGTTCAACTAGAGGGGGAGTTTGCCGTACTGGAGCGCGGTGGCCCTAATTACACTGCAGGTGTATAATGCACAGATTTGTTTAAAGTGTACTGACCTCAAGGAGGTAATAAATAAGTACACACTGTTTTTATTCAAGGTAAGTATAGAATATTAGCTAAGCCCTTTATAGACACCATGCAGGAAACCGAGGCAACCTCAAAAATTTAATAACGAGAGTGTGTAGGTAGCAAGTGCAACACGATGGAGTAAAGGGTTAAATATGTATAAAGTACTCACGATTTGTTTAAAAAAACTCGTATGCTGCTGCTCGATGAAAAACAATCACTGTGAACAAAGTATACGACTGCGTAAGGTCTGCTACTGGAGCACACGTCTGCTCTGCACGAAGTAAAGTATTCAGGGATTCTTGTGCGACTGATTGCCGAGGTGAGTCCGCGCCGGGATTATTAACGGGACAAGCCTGTCGTGGCTCAACGGGATTGGTGCGTTCGACAGTCTTTGGTGGCTCAACGTACGTGGACAGCGTCCCGAGACTCCCGAGTTGGAGGTGAACAGCTTTGACGCCGCCTACACAGTTGGCTCGTCAGCATTGGCCCACGTAAACGTGGTGGGGAACGCGCGAAAGATACGACTTTCCGTTCGGGCGGCTCACGGATACGTGGGTTTTTACCTTACCCACGCGACGTTTTCTTTCGAGAAGCTTCGGGTACTTACCGGATTGGCTGTGCAGCTTGCGGAGCCTTGGAAAAATTTTGCGTGGGTGCAGGTTGAAAAAACTCTGTTTCTCTTGTTTTTTTCTTTTTCCCACCCCATCAAGTTCAATGACGTTGACCGATTTCTTAAATGTGTCACTGTCATAGTCATGTCAACTCTCGACTGCACGGATTTTCGAGGGCAGCTTTTCAAATTTTTTTCTTTTTTTTTTTGGGATGGTTTTTTTTTCTCTCTCGTTTATTTTTACACGGCTTTGTTCAGTTTTCGTTAAGAGATCGGTCATTTCAGTATTCTCCGTACTTTGTTTTGTTTGCTAGAGATATCTCGAACTTTGTAGGCATTGTGTCAACTTTATTTTTTACGATCGAGAATAAAAAATCGAAAACGTTGCAGATCTTTCTGTGAAATACAGTAGCATTTAGAACTAAAAAGGATTAACTTTTATTTAATTTTTTTTTTTTTTTTTAATTCTAGGTGAAATTGAAAAAAAAAAAATTCTCTAATATGATAAATCAAATTTGATAACCAACATAAAAACATATTTAGGAATTTTTCCAGTGAAACAGGTAAGGGCATAAAAGATTGAGAGGCCACTCCTGGCTTAGTCACACTGCGCGACGATGTAGTCCTCTTTTGAACACGAATAACGGGACTGTAGATCTTGGGTCAGGAGAATACAATACTTATGACGTTTGATTAACACATTTTATTCACCATGCGTATCACCTTGTAAGGCAGAGTATCAAAGATCTCTCGTGGCAAAAGTTTTTCTTTCATTATTTACATATAATCACATTTTTTCCCAAATATATTAACATTTTCAAATTCCCATAAATATAGCGTGTATATAAATCATAGCCCAAAAACTCATCTCAAAAATATTCAGTACGAGAAAAATCAGCACAAAAAAAGGGGTGGCAATAAAAAAAATCCGTATTGCCCCAAAGGAACATTTTAAATTATGCACTTTGCTTTGAACATAAGTAAGTATCTTTAAAAAGGAGTACGAAAAACGTTATCAATCGTTATTCGTGAGCGATTTTTTACAGCCTGCAATTTTCTTGTCTTTAAGTAACAGTCAATAAGAAAAGCCAAAACGGCTTTAAAATTTACTCTTGGGCGCCAGCATTTCTAGAATCAAAGGTGTAAAGTAAGATATTATACAGTCGGCACCAGCTCTTCTCATGCACAGCAGAACCTCTTTTAACACAGCCTCTAAATTGATTGCCCCGTTTTGTGCTCCATGATATAGCATCGCGTATTCTCCAGACACTTGGTAAATGAATATGGGATATTCTGGATGTGCATTTTTTGTCTGTCTTACAATATCCAAGTATGCCAAGCCTGGTTTTACCATTAACATGTCAGCACCTTCTTCAACATCTCTTGCCTATAATTCATAGTATGTAGTAAAAATTTTTTTTTACAAGACTCGCAGTTGCAGTTAAAAAGTTTGAAAAACAAATGGAAAACCACTTACTGCAGCTCTTGCTGCCAAACCATTGCTCCCAGAGGGCAACTGATAACACTGTCTATCACCAAATTGAGGTGCGGATTTGGATGCATCTCTAAAGGGTCCATAAAAACCAGATGCAAACTTCACAGCATAAGACAGAACAGCCACTTTATTTGACAAACCAGCATTGGCCAGAGCGACTTTGATAGCTTTAATTCTACCATCCATCATGTCAGATGGGGCAACTATATGAGCTCCTGATCAAAATAGAAAAGTGAAAAATTATCAATTTTTTTCAATGTACTTATAGATAAAGTTAAATTGATTCCAACCGGCTTTAGCATAGGCAACAGCAACTTCTGCAATGCGCTTGATACTCGGTGTATTATTGATTGTGCCATCGTCATTTAAAATTCCACAGTGGCCGTGATTAGTGTACGGACATAGACACACATCGCACGCAATTATCAAATCGGGAAACCATATCCTTAACAAAGGTACTGCTGTAACAATAGGATTTCTCGGGCAGTCGGCACCACTTCCAACTTTGTCCTAAAAAACATGCGTTGTTTGAAAAAATCCGTCAAGCAGATTTTCTTCTCTATATTTCATTGAAACGTTACAAATACCTTTTGCAAATTATTTGCAACACCAAACAACAAAACAGACTTCAATCCTTTGGCAATCATGGGCTCCAGCAAACCCTTCAGCTTATTTACCCCATATCTATTGATCCCTGGCATACTCTTGATTTCGGTGACTGCATCAGGTTCATCTCTAAAATCAATAAACATCCAAAATTCAGATTCATCGTTTACGATCTCAAACTTTGGCCATCTACGTAGTTACAAGAGCCAATCGTTTGCGACAACGCATACGAATACACGTGTAAGTGTATACAAAGTAGTAAAAAAAAGATACAGCTATACATTTAAAAGGCGTTTATATACCTAAGTACATGTGCTTTTAATCGTAAAATGTTTTCATGCTGAGCGAGAGAGAGAGAGAGAGAGAGATAAATAGTGCAAGCTTGAGGTTAAACGACAGCAGCTGTGTGTCTAGCGCACTCACGGCATGACGCAAGATGTGCGACACTTGACAAATAAATGATTGTAATAGTACTCACAGCACGAAAATCGGGTACATCAAGCTCTCGGGCGTTATATCGACGTTCGGTGATTGCCATCGCCGCAAAACCGGATGAAAGTAGCCGCTGTGTAACAAGTGCTTCGATTCCACCGCTGTTGTGTCCATTGTTTAGAAAACTTAGTTTAGGTTATATAAACACCTGCGTACAGGTATTGTCCCTCAACTGCAAGTACTTGATGGTGCGGTTTATATTTGGACGTTCAAATACATAGGTACTTACTTACTACACCTGCTTACATCGAAAATAAGGTTTATGGTAATTTAACTTTATGACGGATATTTCTGGTTAATCTGAAGTATCTAAAGCAAAGGCTTGCTGCTGTTGGTAAATAATAAGACAGCTGCTGGGATTATCGCGTTTGGACTCTTTCGAAAAAATATTATGTAACTAAATTAGGGATTCAATTGTACTTATGTGTGTATAAAAGTGTGCAGTGTGTCGCACATACGAGACAAAAAACAATAATTAAAGATAACTATTGAAAAACTTATAAATTTGTTGTGTGGATTTTTAACTTACTGATAATTCATCTTGGACTTTTTTTGATAAAAAAATGCAAGTATCTGTAAGCGTTGTTGTTTTCTTATTTGTAAAAAAGCATGACCTACGTTAGTTTGAATAGAGTATAGGACCTCATGATTCAGACAAGCAAATTTTAATCAACATTTAGAAGCTCAAAGTTTTTTTTCCATAAATCCCTTTTATCAGTACTAAAGAATAAAGTTTCTTAAGAACTACAACATGATCCCTTAAATGAGCACTGCGATTTCAATTTACACATAATTTGTTCGCGAGTAAATATATTTATTTGACGCTAAAAAATTAAAATCCTCTGTAGTGCCATGTCACGCTGGGGGGAGCAGCTATTTATATTTTACAGTAAGCATCTTAACAATTATACCTTAATGAAAATAAGAAACATGCTTATCTTCCTAATACAATGATACATCGTAAGCTTCAGGTTTATATACCTAACGCACATACGATTCACTGTTATTCAAATGCCCGTACTGAGATTCAACGTGAGACTTGAGAGCAAGCAAGCATTAGAAGGAAGGAAGGAGAATGTAGGAGTTCAGCTACCTTACAGTAGTAGTTCTAGGAGAAGGTTGGGAGAAGGAGTTTTTAATTTTGAATTTAATTATCGGGATAGCGCGAACGCAGTCCCGGCTACCAAAAATAATACGTCCGAGATATCCACATTAGGGATATTCGCAAGGGTCAACCCGTCCGAAGTGCAATGGACAGGCCTCGCCCTGGAGAAACCGCCTTGTTGATCACGGTTATCTCTACGCCAGGTAAGTATGCTTTCTCCGGCTCATTCACGGCTACTTATTCACTCGACTTCACATTATCTCTTTCGGATTCAACGCGAGGTCGCTCACGGACATCTAGCGGAAGTTTGAAGAAGCATCGGAGCAGTTCGCACAAAATTTGAAAAATGGCTGCAGTAGACAAAGCCATACAAAAGCAAATGTATATTTTTGATAATAACTATTATTTCAGTATATTACGGGGAAATTGACTTTTTTTAAATATCAATTTTAATCTTAAAACCTTGGATGTGTGAAAATATTTGCTATCGTTTTTTTATTTGAATCACAAAATTCTTTTATATTGTTATTACGGTGAGTTTCCCATAAGTTTATTTACGAGGCAATAGTCGAGAAGTATCGAAACCGTCTAGTTGAGGAACACCTATGGACATAGAAGTATTTCGAAATCAAAGGCTACGGGTGCGAAAATTGTGTAATCGTTTCTCTGTTGTAGCGAAAAATAATAATTGTTTGCTGTCAAACTCGACAAACATCAAAATAAGGCGATGAAACGTATTTTTCCTCGGTACTTTTATCATTTGATAAGGTCCAAAAATAACTCATCATTTGTTACAGATAAAAGTCAACTCCAAAGATTTTTAGCCACTGCTTTTGTAAAAAGTCTAAAATTTTACGAATAACATTTTTCATAAACTTTACATCAAAACGTACAATGTAGTGTCACACAATATATTGCAATGTTGTAATTTTTAAACATTTATATTTGTGTATAGTTATTCTTAATAATTGAGATGTTTGGTTACGTATTATTAGATATTAAGCAAATTAGTTCTTTGCACGAAGTTCTGAGACAGAATCAGGACAGATTAGCACTAAATTTATACCTAGTGAGATTTTGTGTCGATAAAAACGATTAATTCTGTAGTGTTAATCGCGATGATCAAATTAATGCTAAAAATAAAAAAATAAATAAAAAAAAACGAATAATAATATTAATTTACTATTCTTTATTTTACGTGAAAAGAAAAAGAAAAATCATTTATCCAGTGAACTATACCTCAAAAGTAAAAAATGTTAAAATTATTTAAACACAAAAATCACCTCTTGAAGTTTCTTCGAACCAACGACTTTTTTTTCTCATTACTCGACTTCGTCATCAAGTGGATCACCTTGTAAAGAAGGAAGAGAAAATATTGCTCCAATGCCCACAGGAAGTTTACGCTGTAACCATATTTCATTATTTTCAGCTTTTCCAGACACCTCATGTCGCACTGTAGCTATGCGAATCACGTGAAGTAGAAATTGTAAGTGTACTAGGTATGTATTAAGTAGTACTGCAGACTTCCGCCGATAATGATAAACGCCAAAAAAGATGTTACGTATAATTTATAGGTACTACGTAATATCGTACGACTTATATATCTCTATTATTTCTCTATAAAATTGGCTATGTCAGGTATCTTCATACATAAGTATGTGGATTTTTATCATTGACGATAACATCTGTCGTGATTTTACGAGTAGTTTGCATTCTTACTGCTTCGTATAGGATTAATCGAGTAAAAAAAAAATTTTACAGTGATGATATACAAACAGTACGAGTCCAAGCACGACTCCGCATTCATTTGGTTGAATTTAGAGATCAAACTAAAGTGTAAAAATATCATCAATAAGTGCCAGCTTCGGGTATCATAAAAACATTTTCTTAGCTCACCTTATACAAGTTTAAAACTTTCATCACAAGTAATATGTAAATTTTCAAGTGAAGGTATACCTAAACGTATTTACCGCATGATTCATACAATCATACACAACAGTGCACATATCAGGAACAAAATCGTTGATGCCATCAGGGGAATTGACAAGTCGCACAGCGCACATAAACATGAAAACGCAGCACCTATAAGTATTCTGGTCATGTATATAGATGTATATAAACCTGTAACAGTGAAAAATCAAATATCAATAACAGTTTAACGGACTTTTTATGCGTTATCGCGGATGAAATACATATATCTTGAAGAAATATATAATATCTTCCAACGAACGAGTAGGTATTACACACTTGTGGCCTGTTTGAAAAAAAACCACCCTCAACAGGATGGGCAACGCAGATGCGCGAACGCACGAGACTCGGCACTCGGCTAATCGGAGAGGTTTCTCGGGTAGCCGCCGCGTTGGCAGCACCGTACCACGAGCGCGGGAAAACAACCGGAAAGGATGGATTTGTGTTGCATGCCTCATTGCGACGACGACATCTGATCGCGCGCGCGAAAGTCTCCTGTTTAGCCTTGTCAGGTCTTGTCCTTACGTCCTTCGTCACGATGGTCCGAGTCGTTTAATCTTGGACAGTTATCCAAAGTACCTACCTACTCGTCGTCGGATTTATCCTCTCGTGAGACGTATCGTTTTTATTCGAGAAGAAAGTTGAAGTAGACATGGAGTTGGGAAACCAGCGACAGGAGTCCCTGGGTGCCACCTCTGGCCCGATTTCAAAGTCCATCGATGTAAAGAAGAACGTTCACCCCGATGTCATCGCACCGTCCGAAGACTCGGGTCTGTCTAGCATTTCGACCAGCCCACCTGGCTCTGTCTGTGAGTATGGCTTATTTGGATTTTCCTCGCTCCGTCAATGGTGATTTGTAGCGCTTACATTATTATTGCCGATTTACGCCATTTGACCAAGTTTTCTCGTAATGGCGGTGTTTTTTACGATTTTCGCAATTTTTCAATGCGGCGGTTAGGTCGTTTACCCCATACAATTATGGTGGTGGGTGCATGCGGCGACTTAAATGTCAGGTCACGTGAGGACCGTTAATTGGCCGTTGTTTTGTTTACGTGATTCGCAAAAACTTGTCTCAACAGGTTCATCTTTAAAAGCTGATGATGGCCAGGATGATGTCAAGCCGAATTCAGAGTCGACGATCGGCGAGGGTATCCAGTTCGCCGATCCGAGTGTCATCGCCGAGGAAATGCGCGAAAAAGAAGCAAAGATCAAGAGGCAAGATTCAGAGATGTTGGCAGAGAAACGTAGGGCCAAGGAAGCTTACCAGCAGGAAATTCAAGAAAAACAGTACAAATGTCTGATGCACTTGTTGAGCAAGAGCAAGGCTATGAGCAGATTTTTAAACGAGAAGGTTAATAAAGCCACGGAAAAGGAAAGCGTCAAGATAGGCCGAAAAGGCGGTAATAAAGCTGGCAGCAAAAGGGGTGCCACAACTCCCGAGACGGAAGATGATGCGCCACCACCGAAAAAGAAAGGCAGAAAACCCAAGCAGGTGAATAAACTTTTTTGACAAAACAAATTTATTTTGTGGCATGTAATTTTAATCCTTGTGACGTTCTTTTTGTCAAATGATTCAGATCAAACAAAATCTGAGCGAAGAAGATATCTCAAAAGAGTTGGATTCGTTGATTGAGGACGAAGAGAAAGAAAACTCTAGTGCTGTTGCTAACTACGTTAAATCAAAGTATTTTGTGGGAGATTTGCGTGACTATCAAAAAATAGGTCTCAATTGGCTCAAAGCTCTGTATGATCATGGACTGAATGGAATTCTGGCCGATGAAATGGGTCTTGGAAAAACAATTCAAGTTATTGCTTTGTTTGCGCACTTGATTGAAAAACGAGTGCCAGGACCATACTTGGTTATAGTGCCTTTGTCGACTCTACCCAACTGGATCTCAGAGTTTGAACGTTTTGCCCCTGAACTACCGGTAGTCGTTTTTTATGGCAGTCAAAAAGATAGAGGTCCGATCAGAAACAAAGCCATGAAAAAAGTGCGCATGGCTGTGAACTTTACCACACATCCGATCATCCTTACAACATATCAAATGCCCCTTTACGAGCAAAAGTTTTTCAAAACGTTGAATTATCGATACATCGTCATTGATGAAGCTCAGAGGATTAAAAACTTCAACACTCAGTTATTCAAGTAAGATGGTTTACGTCTTTAAAAATTTTTAATTGCATAGAATGCTGTTGTGCTCAATTACATATTGTAATCGTTTTTAACTTTTTTTTTCAGGGTTCTCAAAATGTTTAACTCAGTGAATCGATTATTGTTAACTGGTACACCTCTGCAAAACAATTTGTCAGAACTCTGGTCGTTACTGAATTACCTTTTGCCTGAAATTTTCAATGATTTGGATGTATTTGAGTCGTGGTTTGATGCCAAGGACGTACAAAATGAGGCAGGCAAAGAGAAATTTTTTAGGCGCGAGCAAGAAAAACAAGTCATGTTTGCCCTGCGCGAGATTTTGCAACCGTTTATGCTGCGTCGCTTGAAGGAAGAAGTTTGTCCAGACATTCCTCCATTCAAAGAAGTTGTGGTGTACACTCCGCTAACGAGTTTTCAACATCAACTCTACTCTGCAATACTCAATCGTGATCTTGAAAAACTTTACATGACCGAAATGCCAGTTGTAGTTGATGTTGATGGAGTTAGACCAAAAAGGAAATGTACACAAGCGGTAAACTTGGATACTTACTACAACGAAAATTATTCAAATATTGTTTCTACTAAACCACAAAAAAGCTTAGCTGAGACCTCGAACGAAGCCAAGAAAGACAGAAGAGAAGAAGAAATTTCTAAATGGAGGAAATTTGCAACTGTAAACGACGAAAATGTTGAGTTTTACATTAGACTGAGATTTGGCAATGATGGTGATTATACTTATTATGTTTTGTCTAAAAAAATGTTATTTATATTTTAAAGCAAATTTCGTATTTCAGTGATGATGTACAGACACGTAGTTAACCACCCTTACATCATCCATCAACCATTAGATAACTGTGGATTAAGTTTAGTTGACGAAAATCTTATTAAAATTTCTGGGAAAATGTTGGTACTCGATGCCATGCTGAAAAAACTCAAAGCTAAAGGTCACAAAATTTTATTGTTTTCCACCATGAGAATGGTATTGGATGTCATTGAAGATCATTTGAACTTACGAAATTATCAGTACGTCAGGTTGGATGGCACGATTAAGTATGAAGATCGCAGGTGTAACATTGACAAATTTCAAACAGACCCAGACGTATTTATATTTCTACTCACCACTAAAGCTGGAGCCGTAGGTTTGAATCTCGCTGCAGCTGATACTGTTATAATTTATGACAGTGACTATGTAAGCTAACATTTTTGTTTGAATGACAATGTCCTAAGTTAAATATTACATGATTTTTATAATTTTTTAGAATCCTCAAAATGATTTACAAGCCATGGCTCGTTGTCATCGAATCGGTCAAACAAAACCTGTTGTGGTTTACAGGCTTTGTACAAAAGGTACAGTTGACGAGGAAATAATTAATCGCGCAAATGCAAAGAGATTCCTGGAAAAAGCAGTGATATCCAAGGAAGGTTCTATAGCAACCAGTTATGAAGGTCTTATGGCGCTTAAAAAACTCTTAGATGAAAACACTAAAATCATAGATTCAAAGAAAGAAGGTAAGCTTCGTTGATTAATAAGTTATCTTAAAAATTGGAAGATCTATGTATGTATGATTGTCTTGTTTCTCTCTTTACAGTCTATACCGAAGCAGAATTAGAAGAAATGTTAGATAGAAGTGACATGTTGAGGGAAAAGAAGGAAGAAACAGAATGATTTTCATTCAACTAAGTGTACCATTATACTGTATGTGTTCGTTTTATTCCGTTCTATTTATAATTTTTTACGTATTTATATCGTTAAAATGTTAATATCTGTTTCTTAATATCAAAAGTTATGGCAATCTACTTCAGACAAGATTGTGTGACTGTAAAAAGTACATTTTTTAACTCGAGAAATAGTTTGTACTGTGAGTGTGATCGTTAAGTATTTATTATAGATAATTTTAAATCTCAAGTACCTCTTTGTAATTTAAGAAATTATTTTTTTAATAAAAATGTTCGTTAATATTTTTAATAACACGTTTGTTGTGAAATGAGCTTTTGCTCCAATCACTTAATTTTTCTTTGTTAGTGACAAATATATTTTTCTTTAAAAGTATAATATATATTTTATATAACAAGGTCGATATATTTACAATTATTAAAATTTGTTGAATTTTTAGTCTTCAATCAATGTATAAAAAGTATATATACAAACAACTTTTTCAATTATCACTTTATATGTGAACATCTGCGTTCACGTTGATGTTAACTTCAGCTTCTTGATTTTCTGGCACTATTGATGCTGCAATTTCCGTTACGTTAGATACTACATCTAACAATAAATGCAAGTGATAAAATTTTCTCAATTTTGAAGTATTCTAGTGTATACAGTGATACTATCATACCTGCACATTCAGGGTGGCATTGCTCTAATTTTTTAAATCTTTCATATTTTTGAAGTTTTTTCAATTTCAATTCGAGTAACGTTGGACCAAAAATGTAATAGCCAATCCCACTTCCTGCCACCAAAGCAATGCTTATGTAGCCATTGTAAGTCATTACAGCTAACATAAGAAAATACCCCAAAGTAACATGAAATGACCAATGTACAACTTCTACAGTCCATGCTGTATAGGCGTTGCTGAAGAAGTTAAAAAGTGTACAACCCATACTTAATGTTAATACGAAAAAATTATCCATTAAATAATAAAAAGCAACGTACCATCTAAATGGTCCCACAGATGCAACTGATACTTCTGACACTCTTGATAACAATGACGAACTATCTGTTGGTTGAGTGATGGGACTAGGCAGGTTATGTTGCTTTGTCAATTGACGTAATTTGATTTGACTGATTTTCATAGTTTCGTAAACAATTGCTAGCGCTATTAAACCTATGCAAGTTGACACAAACCCCCATACTGTAGTTATATTATATCCATGAAATATAAAATCTTGTATCTTGACACCAAGCCAGTAAAACATGTGCATCTGCAATCAAACAGTAGCAACTTTGAGACGTTAAATTTAAATACTTGAAAAACTTTTTTACCAACAACGTAAATCGTTTATTTTTTTAATAAAAGTGATATACTTATTATTTGTAATAAAAAAAAAGTTAATAACCATTATGAAGGTTACGCCGAAAAAAGTGCTTCTCCACGAGAAAAATAAATCCAAATAATCACTGATAACATGTTGATAATATAGCTCTTCTGGCAGATATCAACACATTCCACACATTAAAAGTTTCATTTTACAATTTTTTATCACTGATACGCAAAAATAACTTTTATTTTTAACAAGCTATTCCTATAAAAAAATCAAAATGAATCTCAGGAAAAGTGTACAGCCTCTCTTATCTCCACTTAAATAACAAAGTTAAAAGAACAAATTTTTGATAATTGATAACATGTTCGTTTTGCTCATACATTGCATTGATTAATAGAATAATATGTACATGCAGTGGAAAGTGAAAGGAAAAGGAGAGGAGAGACAAACCAGATGTGATTGTCTATATCTGCAAATAGAATTTCATGAACAGTGGGAGTGTACTTAATGTGATCGTGGTATGATAAAAGATAACTTACCTCGGCAGGTCGTTTTATTCCTCCATTTGCATCTCAAGTAAGTGATATTGGCTGATGTGGCCATTATGACAGTGCTCTGGCTGGGTGAATGATTAATCAGGTCATTGTGGGGGACGACGATGGTGACACACGAGCTAAACAGTCTTATCTGCAGGATATTTACTGTTATACATATGTATATATCAATATTGATAAGAATGAACAATAGGAAGAGAGAGAGAAATGCATATACATATATTATGCTTATGCATATAAAGCGGACGACGCAAGTCACATGGTATTGTTTTGTTGTTTTCTTTTTTCGAAAGGTAAACAGAGTGATACTTTTTTAATTTGTGCAACGCTCTTTGCATAAATTATGTATTTACAGAAAGTGGTATCTATATTCATGAGAGCAAGCTGTAAAGAGTCTACCTATTATATTGCAACTTGAGAAACAAACAAGCTGACTAATGACTATGTCGCCGTGATACCCGTCTATATATATACCACCTCAAGTCCCCGAGGCTCCGGCTTCGAGAAGCTTGCACTTTATCTTTCCCTGTATGCATGCGCAGTGCAATTACGGTGCTGCCGTTCAAAGAGGGTAAAAAAGAACTCATTTTCGCTTTGAAAGGTATACATTCGAACAAAGCACTTTATGTACACGGCAGAATTTAAAATCTCCAAAAATCAATACCTACCTGCATGAGAGAGCGGCTGCATCAGCAGCACATCAGAAGCAGAAGAGTTCCCGCCTCGGTTGGAACGTTCTATTCTGCTCCGCGACGCGGAAAAACACACGAAGATAACTGCAAATTTAAATTGTTTTTGATAACGTGTCTCGTGAGGGTTTTTACACCTGATTATTTTTTTCAAGTGATTCTGCAGTGGTGAGTTGTCATCCCGTGGTGCCAAAAAAGGAAAAATAATTATAAGGTGTGCATGCAGATTTAGAATAAGTTTAAGGTTACTTGTATTTTATAGTAGAAATTATGTTTTTGATCAATTGTATTGTTTTGCAGAAGCACCCGAGGCCTAATATTGATTGTGATTTTTCGTAGTACGTTAGTTTTGTAAGAGTTTCATATATTTGCTGCTTATTTAAGATACATGAATTTTTGAAACACAACATTCCAGTACTCTGCGTGAAATTCTGTTATTAAAAGGTATGAAGTATTTGAAAAAAAAAAACGAAGTTTATTGGTGTTTGAGTTTTATTGAAAAAAAAAACTTTGTATGTATTTGTAGAGCTAGCTACAATGGCCAAAAAGGTGGACGATGCTTTGACAAGGGAGGACTTTGACGCCGGTCCGTCGAGCTACGATGAGGTAGAGCCAAACTTGTACTTGGGAAATTTGACAGCTGCTACGGACCTAGATTGGCTGAAACAAACTCAAATCTCTCACATACTCACAGTAGACTCTTGTCCTCTGCCAAGAAAAATACAGGATTCTTTGCCCCATATAAAATTGAAGTACATGCAAATGACAGATATGCCAAGAGAAGATTTATTGACCTCCTTTGAGGACTCCAATCAATTTATACAGAGCGCACTGGACTCTGGTGGCAAAGTGCTGGTTCACTGTTACTTTGGTGTGTCGCGCTCGGCCACGATTGTAATAGCATTCGTAATGAAAAAGTACAATTTTCCATTTGATAAGGCTTTCGAGGCTGTGAAAGCGAAACGTCGCTTTGTTGGTCCAAACCCGGGCTTCCAAGCTCAGCTCAAGCTCTACGAAGACATGGGCTTTACAATCGACTGTTCGAATATTCAATTCAAAATTTACAGACTGCAAATAGCCGCTGACAAGGTGAGAAAGGTCAAAATTTTACCCCAGAACTATGTTGACCTCGTAAAACCGGATCCAGCGCTTCTCTCTACTCACCCGGAACCAACGGTAAACTTTATTAAACATCTTCCCCTCTGTTTCGCATTAACTTTCTTCCGTTCATTTTTTTACAAGCGGCTTATGTTACCTCAAACTTAGGTGTATCGCTGTAAAAAGTGCCGCAGGATACTTGCCAACGCGAGCAACATCCTGCCCCACAGGCCAAAGGAAAAACAGATCTGGCGGCACGTAAGCTGCAAGCGCGACAAGGTACCAAAGCAGATCAGAGCCCTGGAGAAGCCCGCCGAGCCTTCCGCGAAGAAGGAGGAAAAGGAGGAGGCCAACACGGAGCCCTGCAACAAGACGCACTTCGTCGAGCCCTTGGCGTGGATGCCGGATATTCTGAACAAGTGCGAGGGTAAGCTCCACTGTCCCAAGTGCAACTCAAAGCTCGGCTCGTTCAGCTGGGTGTCCGGCTGTCAGTGTCCCTGCGGCAGCAAAGTCGCGCCGGCTTTCTACTTTGTACCTTCCAAGGTCGACTGGAGCAACGCCGTGCAGAATGTTCAGTCGACCGTGTAAGTTGTTTTTTTATCGTTGTTAGATTAATGTGCTCCACCAAAAGGTTGTTGATCAAAGTGTTTGGTATTATATTTTTGAAAGGACTATTGAGACTAAAAAAAAAAAAGAAATATTTTCCATTTACATTCAAATGTCGATGATACTTTACCGTGTTGAATGCTATGCGGCGTTAAACAATTGTTGGTCAAAAAATGCGTACAAATCTCGCTGCGTCGAGAGTGTTGATAACTACAATATTTCCAAAGTAACGCTTATGTATTAAAAAAAAGAGATTATTATTAATATACGGGCAGGGGTCGCGAAGTCATACGTGAAACTCAAAGATGTCTGTTCAAAAGCTTACATTTCTAAAAAATACATACTAAAGGTTTTGCTAGTCACGTTTAGACTTGGAGTATAAGTATGTATAAAAAGACAAAAAACGACTGAAATGTTTCGTAAATAATTTATTTAACGAGGGTGCGCTAAAGAAACGCTACAAATTTTTTAAATCGCAACGTCGAGTTTTTTAAAGATAATTAAATCACGTGCCAAGCTTCGCTCTACCCGTGTAATTGTTACGACTGCATTAACCTTTTTATTCAGTGTTAAATGTGATGATATACATAAACATACATTTGGGGGGAAAAAGCCCGTATGTTCAGGTTGTTGTTGTTATTGCTGTTGTTACGTCGTACGTGTTACGATCTATACAAATAATATATAACTTATCGTATACATATTTAATATATCTTATATACCTCGTGTACAATTGATCGTCGCAAACACACACGTACCTCACGCATGTTTGTATCAAAAATATTGCAATCTCGCTGCGAGAACGTTGCGTGTATAAAATTTTGTTAATAAAAATTTTCTCACTTCGAGGCACCGAACATGTTTGATTCTCGTCATTAAGAGAGAAAAGAAAGAAAAACTACAAAACGTAAATTACCCTGTAATCGTTCGACTCTTTGGATACATATTTTGTTTTACTGTATAGGGTTCATCCCGTATATACCACATTGAACATTGTACTGCAGTTGGAAGAACCACCTTTGGTTTGATCGTACCCTTCATCGTTTTTTTTTTCATTCCAAAAATGGAAAACAAAAAAAAGAGAGAAGCAACAAACGCGCCATACTTAATACTTTAAGCTTTTGTTACATGCTAGCGTGCATGGCCGAGTACGCAGACCCGTAGGGATGCGATCTGAGCCTGAGGGCGCCAAGCCCGTTGATGGACGTGCTCGTGCCGTCGTGGTGGTGATGGACCTGCATTACGTCGGCCTGGTGGTGGTGGTAAGCCGAGGCGCCGATGCCGACGGGGTTATTGACGAAGCCGTAGTGCTGGGGGGCCGCCGTGGTCCGCCAGTACTCGTTGTACGGGTTATACTGATTACCGATCTGCTGCTGGTTACCGCTCGGGGGCTGCATCGACTCGGGACTGTTGCTGCTGCTGCTGTGGTTAGTGACGCCCGGACAGACCGACGGGCCGGTGGTGGTGGTGTCGTGGTGCACCGAGTGGCTCAGCCGGATCGGCCGGAGCGGCAGGGTCGCCTCCATCTCGCGGGTGGCCGAGGAGCCACGGCTTATCGCCGAACTGCGCTCGTTGCGCCGGAACTTGGCTCGACGGTTTTGGAACCACACCTGCGTCAAAAAGACGTTTTTTTTTTTTTTTTTTTTTTAGATTAGTAAGTACTTGTTGGGGGTTCTTCATTTCGATGAATTTTGTTATTTTTGGTTCGGATGGTAGGGGTTTAACGCTGTAGTAAGAGAAATTCTGTGTACTATAGTACTCATAGGTCTCGCTCCAAAAATTACGGATACAAAAAAGTAAAAGTGTTAAAAAAAAAAAAGTTTCACTTTAACAATCGTACATAGGTGAAAGAGAGAAGAAGCGGAAAAAATGAGGAATTTTCAATCTGAAATATTGCAAATGTTGGACGAATGGCCCATATAGGTACTCGCGTGGCCCAATTGAATTTGTACGATTTGACAGTAGAGCGGTCCCCTTCCCCTGCCTATACGCCGCTTGTCCAAAAGTCCGTGAAACACGACACCCATGCATTATACATGTACCACCAAGTTGCGGGTGCGCAGTTAACGGATTCCCGGCTCGCTCGTATATAGTTGTTAGCTCCCGAATCCAATTTCCCGCTCGCGACCCTCGATCGTTTCATTTTCTGGACCATTATATGTCTTCTTTGTTCGCCGAGTCAGAGCGCGCATACGTGGGATGTACACCTATTTACGCGGAGTAAAATTAATGATTCCACATCACGAGTTGGCCCTTTTTTCCATTATTGGTGTAGTCGAGTGGTGGTTGCGTACAAAGAGGTCGGGGGAGTCGATGCCCGTTGTCTCACTCGTATTTCGTATTGTATAAGCCTTTTCATTCCTCGTTTATTGAATTTAAATTAAAGGGCCGTTTTGCCAGCACCGTGCGATCACCATCACCCATATGTAATTATAACTGCTGTGAACCCAACTTGGAGCGCGTTAACATATCGTCGTCGGATAAAAACTTATATAATTATATATCTGCCAGTCAATCCAATGACTTTTCTACGTATTTATAGATGCATAAAAATAATTTAAAAGCGATCAACGTTGTACATGCCTGTACTCTTGAAAAATCTATGCAGAGCCGAGTATACCCAGTTGTCTCACCACAACGAAGAGAATATAGAGATATCCACGTTGGTGAAAAAAAAAAAAAAAAAAAAAAAACGAGGCCGTATCCTCGATTTCGGAGCTCGGTATAGTAAGAGCGTATTATGCATAACACCAAAACTCGCCGCTGCCGCGAGAGTCAAAGGAAGCGGAGCGTCAGAAGAAGCGTATCCGATGTCGGTAGTAGCCAAGTTGGAAGGGAAAAAAAAAAAAAAAGACTCTTGGGAAAGATGTATAAGTGGTGCAAGGGCCACCGATGATCGGCCGCTGCTCACTTATACATATATATATACATAAAAGCGCGCGGAGACGAGAACGGAGGGAAAAAGAGAGGATGGATGCGCTGTTTGACGGGACAGCGTGACGGCTCCTGGCAGACGCGCGAACGTATAGGTATTGTATTTATATACATGCACGTATACACGTGTCTCTCACCATCAGCCAACATTTGTGCACACCACCCATTTCGAGCATTATATTATTGTAATTTGCACCTACATATACACACACACACACATATATATATATATATATATATATATATATATATATATATATATATTACACTTGACGCATAGAAGAAAAAGGCCGAATATATCATTATACACTTGCAATTAGCGATTGTAGATTTTTCCTGTAATTATATATCTCTTTGGCGGCTAATTGACAAAAAAAATTGTGCTTGCACTTCCGCGCGGAGGGACAAAAATAATACACACGGGATCCCCGAAAATGTTGAATTAACGAAACATTTTAATTGACCCGAGCGAAATCCCACGAAATTCGCCTCCTACCGACCTATGAAGTATTAGCTTTTGCGCTCAAAGAATTATAACCAAGTGGGATAACGAAGTGTACATTTATACTGTATACATTATGTACATAGGTGGGGCATATTATGCGCGGATTCAACTTCAAGAACCAAACGAAGATTGCACACCTATATAGTTACGAATTGGATATGTACATACAACACTATGAGATCTCGGTAGGCTAATCATAGCCGCCTTTATTCGGTGTACGTGCTTGCTTATACGTGACAACCTGTCTCCGCCGATTTGCCGACCGGCCCGTCCGACACGGTGCGCTGCAGCGCCGGCGGATCCGGCTGATGCTTCTTTCTCGTTCGAAAAGGGGGGATTTATATTTGCGAGCTCGTGTATACTATACGGGGCTCTTGTCGCGGACGAAAGTTCGGCGAATCTCGGCTGTGGAGCTTTTTTTTCTTCGCCTCAACGTTCGACGGAAGCTTTTTGTTCGTTCCAAATACTCAGGGGTGTCTTTTGGTACAGTACCCTAAAGCTTCGGATTTTCCGTTAAAAGCCCCAATGTTGGGGTCATTTTTCTTTTCTCAAACTTTACCAACGACAACGAGAAGAAAGACAAATCGTCATTCTATATATACACTCTTCTCGTAGTACAAAACATTTGTACCTCCATCCCCTTGTTCGGATTTTAACGAACAATTCAAACTAAGTGAACCCCGTAACGTCACTATTGAAGATAGAAAAGAAAAACGAACAATTACGTTTTTTGTACCCAGGTATGAAAAAATAAAAAAAAAAAAAGCCCTAGGTTCCACTATCCACTAATCCTGCACCACATGATCGTGCTTGCGGCAAAAAGCCTCATAATATATTAATACAAAAAATACAAACTACATGGACGGACAGAAATTAAACGTATTTTCGGAGCAACATATGAGCAATCATCCAAGCGAGGAGTAGGTATCTATAGAATAAAAGCAAACGGAGAAAGATAAACGAGGCGCGTGTGTCGCTTGTGTCACATATAACTGTATGTGCTTAGGTATATTTTGGACGTGATTCATGAATTAACGTCAGCATCGATTCTACGGGCTTATGACAAGTACACGCGACCGCGTGCTCGTAATATTTCTGGTCCAAAAGTTTCGCGGCGCATATTGGTAAGTACATGCTGCATGGATTTTACCCGGCTTCGTCGTGTGTGTACATTTATGTTACTCATAAATATGTGTACCTATTGGAGAGATTAGGGTAAAAAGTGCGGAACTCGCCAAGGAGAAAGGGTTTTTTACGTAAAAATATAGTGTATACCTGTACTCGAGCTTCGGATAACGAGACACGCGTGGCCAGTTCCTCCCTGACGAAGGCGTCCGGGTAGTGCGTGCGCTCAAAGACCCGCTCCAAAGCGGCCAATTGTTGGGCCGAAAAAGTCGTACGGCTGCGCCTTGGCCTTCTGCTGCCTGCGCTCGACGACGACGTGCCCTCGTTGCAGTCTTGGGCACGACAACATGAAACACACATTGCTCTTCGATTTATTATTTTTACAATGGAATTTTATTTATTTATTTTTTTTTTTTAGTAAGAATTACAGCNTTTTTTTTTTTTTTGCTCTGAAACTAAAACAAATTCTCAGACTCAACAAAATATTTACTATAGAATGTTTTCAATTCAACAGTCTTTTCTGAAACAAGGTGTTTTCTTGAAATAAGAAAAAATATATAGTGTTGTTTCAAGAGACTACATTGAATAAATTCTTGATTCTAAGATAATTTTTTTTCAGTGTCTTATCCACTTTAAAATAATTATTTTTGTGAGGGAGGGAACGAGGGAATTCGAATTACGTATGTAATTTATATTACCATTTTATTGGGTTTTGGGTTTATAATCATACTTTATGAATAATTTACAATTGGTCATGTTTCAGCTATAATTTACGGTATGGAGTGTAAAGTAAGGAAAAACAGTGTTTTTACTGTAATTTTAGTATAAAAATTGTTTTACGGGGTCCATTTTTTATTATTCGACGTTTCGTGCTAAAATTGTTTATTTTAATGATAAATTAAAAATAATGACCGTATACCCAACAAAAAACTCAACGTGCAAAATTCGTTAACTTTTGAATTCGCTATAATTCCACGTAACTTTCGCCTTCCATCGCGTGAAAATCATCGCATGCCTCGGTATCGTCGTACACTCGCACGAAAAGAGCAAACAAAATCCTTGCTTTTTTTAAAAAGCGCGAACGTCACAATAGACCCCTTCAAACAAGACTCGCGGTATGCTCATACCGTATCACCTATATGCATCTGCCAATTTCGCGCTCGCTTGGAATTCTAGCGCGTGGAAAGAAGCGGAAAAATGGTCCTGAATGGACTTCTCTGTTGCTTTCGGCGAGGAGGGAAGGAAAAGAGCCGTACACTCGTATGCCTGTGTGCTCGGTGTACGCGAGAAGCTCAGCAGGGCGGCATTAACGCGAGCAGCATGAGAGGTGCCCCGTGAGATATAATATATATACGGAATCGGTTGTACAAATGAAGCTTTTTACGCGGAAAATAGCGCCGATCTTGTATCGGTTTTACTTGGGAAAAGCTCGTTTTTTTTTTTTTTTCATTTAGCTGAAGTGATGAGTTTTTACACGCTATACCGGTCATGCATCGTTTGCGATCGGTATAGCATGATGTTCATTGGAAAATCAATATGGGAAAATCGGTTGGATCAATTTCAATGCAACTTCGATCCGAGTCGTCGATTCTCGCGAAATCATATTTTCCCGTACAAATTGGTGAGCGTAATAGCCAACAGGTGGCGTGTGGCCTACGCATCGGATATGTGCAAGCGAATAAGTAGAGTTTAGGTGATAAAGTGCCGAGAGACAGGAATAACAATCGTGCCTTAAACTAATGAGTAAGGAAAATATGTGGCTTTGGTAACGCTTAGCAATGTCTTAGTACATACAGGCGAACCTATTTTTGAAGAGGCTCAGGTCGTCCCGAGGCTGCTTGAACTACTTTTTCAGGCGTGCTACGGTGAAGCGATCTACCTCCCATGCGAGGAACAAACACACAGGATTATAATAGAGTACCGTTATCGGGTAACGAAATTATAATCCGTAACTGCTTTTATCAATTCGGTCAAACGATTTGCGTCATGATACCGGAACGAACGGTTGAGACGAAGTTGAATGATTGACTTATAATTATCGTAGTTCGCTAATGCAAATTCTAATAATTGTAAATAAAAATCTAGTTGAAAATGTGAAAATACCCTAAAAGTGCAAACAAAACAATTAATTTGTTTAATTAGCTACGATTGGCGGGGTTGAGAGAAAAACCTGGTTTGACGATTGACCTGTAAATATTGTGATGCATTCTCATCAACAACAAAACCTTTGAATGAAAAAACTAAAAATCGTTTTGTTTGACATATAGCACGACACGCACTTACAAATAAAAAAAGGAACATTCACTCGTTGAAAAAGTTGAAACGAAAAACGTTCAATTTAAGCTTCAATCGTCGACTAACAAAATTTTGTCACTGCTACCATCAATTATCAAAAACCCTTCCAGTACACGCGTCATTCGACCTACCGGAAATTTGACTCGGGTTGGACAGCAGCCTGGAGACCGTAAAGTCCTGGGGCGCATGCGAGTGGCCCACAAGCATACTCGACCCACCGCCGACTCCGCCGATCCCATTCTCCGACTCCGTCAGCATGTTCCCCTTTGTTATACCCTCCTCGCTGACTATTATTTCTTTTCTAGCAACGGGTAATGTCCGTATCAAATCCTTCGGAAGCTGTGATAAACCACCTCGCTTATACTACTGCTGCTCTTCCCCATCGAAGGATATTTCGTCATTTCGGAGCGGTGGGTGCCGATTTTTCGCCACTATGCGCGATCGGTTGCAATCAAACGCACTCCTATACAGTTGATCCGTCGTTGATTGTGTAAAATGAGTAAACGACACTTTGGACTCGCTCTCAACGCAGCACGACAAACCGATCCATCGTCTCCTCGCACCGATAAATCGATCGATCGGTTTAGCCAAAACAAAACAATAGCAACAAAAAGGCTGGGGTGGGGGGTTTTTAACAAAAAAAAAAAAAAAAAAAAAAAAAAAGCGCAAACACAATTGTGGTCGTACACGAAAACGAGCGGTAACTCGGCAAGAGGCAAACTGCCAACTGAGCCGAGGCTAAGACAGAGCCGCTCGAAAAGCTAAGGAGAGATGTTTACCACTTCGTGTGTATAATGTATTATCTTGCGCGTGTGCGTGCGAGATCATCATCATCATCATGATAATCATCGTCATCTTCCCGAGGCGCTCCTTCCGCGGGACGGGAATAGAGCGAACCGCGTTTTCAAGAAGAGTAGGTGGAGATCTCGAGACTCTGGCTCCACCCTCGTCAGCCTCCCATTGGGCGGGAGACACGGCCTGGTATATACTCGCGCTCGTGATTTTTGTTTTTCACCGCGTACAGAGCGATACACTGAGATTCGAGTGCACGTAGTGCACAATTGTGCGTGGGTTGCTGAAACAAAAAATCCTCGGCCCGAAATGGATGTACGTTTCACCAAAAAGCTCGGGTAAACGATCGGTAGGTAATAGGCGGGCGATTTAGCTGTCGTTTTTAATTGAATTACGAACAGCTGCCGGCGATGGTTCAGCACGCGAACTCGGCTCAGCGGCAACGTAGGCGGGGTGATTATTTAGCGACGAATTTTCAAATTGAATCAAAGGGACGCACAACGTTGTTTTGTTTTCGCATCTCATTTTACGTCGTACGGAGTGGGGTGTGGCTGCGCTCGCGGCTTGTTAGAACGACTGATTTAATCAATTATCGCGCGTCACAGTGGGAATTGCCGGTTAATAAGCCAATCTTCCAATTTGTCGATGCTGGTACAGGGGCGGGAAAAATCGTGAGCTTATTGCGTCCGAGCGACAGATTTGCGTCGGGACTGTTTGAGATGGTTTTTTTCTCTTTCTTCTCGTGTCATCCGATTTTTTTGTTAATGGACCAGCTTTGTGCTACCGAATATCACACGAGAAGTGTCGAGTGTCTTGTCTTTGCAACTCTTTTTTTTTTTTTTTTTTTTTTTTTTTTCTTCGTGTTTTTTTTTTTTTTTTTTTTTTTTTATTTTCCTCTCCGTTTTCTCCTCTTTCCCCTATGCGGCTACACTTTTCGGCTCTAATATCTCTTCATCTATGGGCTCATGTGTGCAGTCGAACACGTGTGCGCGAGGCCGCGGACTCGATAGTACAACGTGCGTGGGGATTTTGTCTTTGATTTCGTGGCAGTTTATGGTTTTTTAATTTTTCTATCGACTCTGTTAGTTAACTTTGAAACAAAAAAAATATATCTTCACCCCCCAATTTCATTCAATACTCTCTTCAATTGAAAAAAACTCAAGTTCATTGAATTTCGTATAGTCGAACAATTACTTTCTTAATCAACTTGTTTTTTTATTAATATCGTGGGATAAAATATTTTTCTTATCAACTAGAATGTTTTTTTTTTTTTTTTAATTAAAAAAAATACTGAACGGAGTGGGTGTTAGGAAATATTTTGTTGTTACAAAGAAATCGAAAAAAAAAAATTCGTCAATCCAAATAAACGTTTACTTGAATAAAAATATTTATTAAAATCGTATAACATTAATGTAAATCAAGTGAATAATTTCTTTATAACGCAATAATATTTAATATCTGTTTGAAACTCAAATAAATGTTTTTTTTATATGTATTCAAAGTAACTTTTACTTCAATTGACGAGATTTTTTTTTTTCCAGTGTGCATTTATTTTTTTTTCGTTGGGATTGTCGTTATTGTTATTTCACCAAACTCCAAAAAAACACTTGCAAGAGATGCAATCGCCAAAACCCGAGGACAAGTGCGTCTCGCGCTCTATAGAAAAAAAAAAAAAAAACAGTCACCTTGACCGTCGCATTTCACGAAAGAGCTGGACTATCGTTAATCAATAACTCATAAAAATCTGGTTCTCTTGTTCTAAAATCTTCATCCTCAAAAAATTGCCGACTGTATAACTTTTGCACACCCTATATATGGGCACACAAGACACGCAGAGCAGTACCTTACACATACACAACATAACAACGAGGGGACGAAAAATCGCGTGCTCACGGTATATACGTATACAAGTATGTGCCGACGGCCCTCTTTTTTTGCCCATTTCCAGTTATAAGACTCTCGCCGGTGTATCTCCGAAGAAGAAGCGGGCGCGCCTGAAACGAGGGTACGTATATACACTGTTGCGTTTGTGCGCCAGAGAGAGAGAGAGATGGAGAAAAAGGGAAGGAAGGAAAGAATGGAAGAAATAAAAGAGAGGTCCGTTATATTTCTATTCGCGAGGGGATTTACGAGACGGGCCCGTTCGGCTTTTGCGTCTGTATTCTTTTTTTTTTTTTCTCTCTCTCTCTCTCTAGGCCATTTTATTGTACGTATTTGGAGCGAGTTTGGTACACGCGTGTGAGGCTTACTGGGTTACCTTGTATACTCGCGCGATTTTGAAGAAAAAAAGCTGGAAATCATAGACGGGAATTTTTGGCGCCGCCGAGAGGGGCGATAATTTTGGTAAATACGTGTTTCGCATGAGGCGTGCGACTTCCGTGAAATTACTGCACGATTATTTCACTCTGAAAAATTAAAATTGATTCGTTAAATTGTTTAAGTAGGCTATACCCGTGTTTCGTGTAAATTTTATTGGTAAATCACCCAAATCATTGAGGACAAATATATTTTGCACGAGAAAGTAGGCACGAAAATTTACCTGTACTCGTTGCGACTCGCAAATACAAAGATTATACTTTTTCAAATTCCATTTCTATACCATCGAATTGAAACAGTATTATTCAGCAGTTGCACCGATTAAACGTATGATATTGATCTCGCCGATTTTTAAATACAATACATTTCTGCCAATCACTCGAAACGTGGACAACCAAGTACCCAACGGTGACCACCTATGGTCCAATTCGTTCATACAAACAGGGAAAATCGGTATACCGACATACTTCTCTCTCGGACATTTATAGCGAGGGGAAAAAAAAATCATAACTCCAATCGCCGGAAAAAAGGCATAAAAGAGCCAAACGATCGCCAACGAAGGAGCCGATCTCGAAAAACGCGAGTTCGCCACTCGTGTACAATGCAATGTACAGTGCACCGGCCCCTTGGCCCATTGGAAGCTCTCGAGGGTCGATTTGGTCAGTCCATTGTTCGAACCCATATCTCGCTGCTCTCGTTGAGCGGTGTACATGTGCGGCGCGCAAAAAAAAAAAAAAAAAAAAAACCCAGAAGGAACGTATGTACGCGAATATATCGAGGGAGACGAGCGTCTCTTCGGTGATGGCATTGTCGCGCTCCAGCGACGCGTGCGCGCGTTTATAATTCCGAAATAAATCCCGGCATGGACCGTTTTGGAGCTCCCCCCCTTTGCCGCTGGTGCTCTTTTTCCTTTCCACTTTTTTTTTTTTTCCCCCTCATTTTGCGTGTCCGGCTAACAGAAAATGATTATGCTTACACGCGCGTGTACAATATTGTATAGCGATTCTCGATGGCGATGGGAGAAAAAAAAGTTTGGGGGACAATAACGCGTGTTTTTTTTTTTTCTTTTCTGTTCACTTTTCGGTGAGAGAGGAAATGAAAACGTGTCCGCTTCTGTCGCGTGATTTCGTGAAAAATATCATTTCTAATATTAGTTTATGCATTCGCAAATTCCAAGGCGAAATTTCGCGTGAGGACGCGCAACTGGCACAAATCCACGCGCGCCACCGCTAAGTGTGTACATTACTATATTATATTGTGCACCACTATACATCTCACTCGTGCGATCAAAGTTAATGTGGACATTTGTTACAGATTGGGGCAGAAAAAAAAGGAAATGAGCAACAGAGGTCCTCCTCTATATACATATATTATTAGTAAATAGCAAAAGTTACAAAAAGAAGGTACGTGTTTTTTAGATATTGTATTTTATTTTATTTTTTCATATTATGTGAAATCTCGTATATGCTCATATCAATGCAGTTTACCTATACAATTTACTTAATGTTCGCCGGACTACGTCACGTAACCAGCGGATCTTTAAAAAATCCATTTTTAAAAACGTTTATTGTCACGCGATGTCGTGCAAACTCACGTAAGCACAAAATGTCCCTACATAGTAAATATGTATGTCCCTCATGGATATATTATTAAAAACAGCAATTAATGACGTACTTAGCCTCCCTCGCAAGCAAACGCGAAAAGCCTCTTTTTCTCAAACGTATATATATATGCCTCTCATGTACAAGTGCTCCATATGCATTAAATGTGCGCCTAACTCTGCTTTTATATGTACTCGCGTATATGAAGTCGCAGAAAGGGGCAAAAGTGAGAGCTTTGCCTGCAAATGCAAGCTATATATTATCGCAGAGTGTGGGAGGTCGTGGACGCTGCGCAGTGGGCCATCAACATCGGCTAAAAGCCGCGGTAGACGACGACAGCTGACCATAATATATATTACCAGCAGAGAGTCGTGGCTGCTTTTTTTTTTTTTTTCTTTGTCGTCCGACTCGGATGTACGGTAAGGTGACGCGTACATCACTCCCCTCTCCCTCGAATGCTACGTCATGCCGGTGTATATCTATACCTATGGGCTCTATCCGATGTTTCTGCAGAGTTATTAGAGGAGCCTTAGATTTTGCTTTTTTTTTTTTCTGTCAGATGCTAGGTTTTTACCCTTATACGTATATTGCGTGTTTGCCCCAAAAAAGGGAGACCAAAATTACGTTTGATAAAATGTAAGGCGATTGTTTTGAACGAAAAAAAAAATTATTTAAAATAAATCTTATCTGTTATGACGAACGCGTATCGCGCGATCTAAATTATTATAAATACATTTAAGTGTAATGACCAAATAAATATTTCATTGTTTAACAGAAANCATTAATTAAAATATTTATATGCCACTAACGTTCTCTGATACTTCTTTTTCTAGATGAAAATTGATACTCCTGAATTGCAGAATATCTTGATCGTGCTGATGAATGACTCCGAAGAGATGAAACAGTTTCTTAAAGTTAGCATTATGTTAATTTTGAATAAAG